ATTTGAATTTTTCTATTTAAGGGTGGTTTTTTCGATTTAAAAAAATTTTAAAGGGTGAGGGAGCATTTCTGGCTTTGTTTCTGCATTGCTGGAGTAAAAATATCTGGTTATAAAATTTTTTAATCAGTTATTTTATTGTTTTACCTCCTGAATTTGATTCTTCAGATTAGGGGTAGTTTTTTCGATTAAAAAAAATCAGGGGGTGCTGGATCAATGATGGCTTTGTTTTTTTGAGTTAGTAGAGCAAAACTATAAACATGTAAGGTTCTGTTTTTAAAAAAAGCCGGTAATTTAATATTTTTTTACTTCTTAAATTTGAATTTTTCTATTTAAGGGTGGTTTTTTCGATTTAAAAAAATTTTAGAGGGTGAGGGAGCATTTCTGGCTTTGTTTCTGCCTTGCTGGAGTAAAAATACCTGGTTATAAAATTTTTTAATTAGTTATTTTATTGTTTTACCACCTGAATTTGATTCTTCAGATTAGGGGTAGTTTTTTCATTAAAAAAAATTCAGGGGGTGCTGGATCAATGCTGGCTTTGTTTTTGAGTTAGTGGAGCAAAGTTTCGTAGATATAAAATTTGGTTTTTTTAAAAAATAAGTTGATTTATTTTTTATCTCCGAAGTGTGAATTTGTCCGTTTAAGGGTGGTTTTGGTCGATTTAAAAAAAAACTGAGGGTGATGGAGCAATTCTGAGCTCAGATTCGGTTTCAGCGGGCCAAAATACTATAGGAAATATATGTGTAGTTCAAGAAACAGACAACTTTTTTTTTTTTGTGTGCCTGTGTAATGTAAGGAAGTTTTTTGTAAAATTGAAAAACAATTTATCAACAACTTTAGAAAATATAGAACGTTTAAGAAAACATGCGCGACGCGCTAGCGAGTCTCCGCGCGGAGAATTGCACACAAGAGTTAAGAAGGACGTTATGTTATGTTGTGATATATTATGTTTTGAAAATGGAGCCAACATACTATCACTGTTGATATGTAACAATACACTAATTTCTTAAAAAAATGAAGAAACAGAAAATAAAGATATACCTTAATATTAATTAATAAAAAACTTATTTGCAAACTGCACAAACAGTACATACAAGCACCAAAATATTTTAAAACTATTGATTATTTAGTAAATATTAAAAAAACAGTTGTTCAAATTTAATTTGCATTTTCATAAAATTAACACATATTTTATTTGAAAAACATTTCTAAGAATGTAGTGACAATATTTGTTTCTGTATTTTCGGTTCTCTACAACTCTTGTTTGCAATTCTCCGCGCGGAGACTCGCTAGCGCGTCGCGCATGTTTTCTTAAACGTTCTATATTTTCTAAAGTTGTTGATAAATTGTTTTTCAATTTTACAAAAAACTTCCTTACATTATGATAAACAAATGTCTCACTGGAAGTTTCTTCAACTCTGAAATTCCCCACACACTTTATGTCGACAAAGGTAAGTAAACATTATTATTGACAAGTCTTCATTTACAATTAATTATAAATAAACAATTGATGATTTTAATATTTTTGATTATGTTGTCGTCTTCTATGGACCTAAATACGTATGTATATTAATTTTCAATAAGATTCATTAAAAATTTGTCAAAGATACTATGATTTATGTTTAAAAATTGAATGAAATTTGTGAAATAAAATTTTTAAGTGTTTTGCATATATTAACTCTATTTTTTGATCTACAAAAAAAACTCAAAGGAAAAAAAGATGCGCCATCTTATGTCCTACAAGATTGCACTTTTCAAAAATCAAAATTTTGATTTTTCATTTTTTTCACGTTTTTGAACGTTTGACTGGCGTTAGAGCGATCGGCCAAGCGCTCGGCGAGTTATTGCAGGCAGCTACTCAATTGGACACAAACACTACAGCAATATAATTATTTATATGTAAAATTGAAAATAAGTAATTATTTTATCATTTATTACAGTATTTATTAGATTAAATAAATTCTGATTCCCCATAAGACACTGTTTTTATATAAAAACTCAATTTTATTTAAATCGGGTATAAAATGAACACAAATAATTCAATGATTCAACATATTTCAAAAGTAGAAAATATCGCGTGACAAATAAAAGAATCAGGCGAAACACTAAGTGATGTTGCGATAATAACGAAAATTCTGGGAACTTTACCGACAAAGTTTCGAAATTTTCGTCAAGCGTGGCTGTCAATGAGTGAAGAGAAGCAAACATCCTGACCTAAAAAAAATATATTTTCCTAGGTAATCTTAACCAGCAAAGGTATGATAATCGTAAAAAAAATCCGCGGAAATCTACGATAATAAAGTGTTAGTGGCCAGTGCAGTTCGTAATTCAAATAACAACTGTTCCTGAAATCAATTTAGTTGAGAATAATAGTTTGAAAATGTGGCACGAAAGACTCGGACACATTAACCCGCAACTTATAAGTGCAATGATTTCCAAAAACTTAGTGAATGGTGTTGATGTGAATGACAAAAACGAAGTCTTTTGTGATGGTTGCCAATACGGAAAACAACACAAGCTTTCCTTTGCAAAAATAAAAAGAAGAAAAGCAGCAATTTGTGAATTAGTGCACAGTGATCTTTGTGGTCCCATGTCTGTTCCCTCTGTCTGTGGAGCAAAAAACTTTATTTTTGTTCAAGGATCACAATTCATCTTTTCGCACAATATCAATGCTTTTTGATCAATTCAAGATTTACGTAAATATTTGCAAGACAAAATGTCACCCAGAGAAAACTTTAAGAGTTAATAACTCATACACCCTTTGAGATATGGATAGGAAAGAAATCACTGGACCACGTGAGAGTTTTTGGCAGTGAAGCTTGCATGCTCATTCAGGATGCAAGATGATAAAAGGTGGACCCGAAAAGTAAAAAGCTGATTCTCGTAGGATATGAGAAAAAGTCCCTCAACTTCCGACTTTTTGATCCTGAATCTAAAAATGTGAAAATATCCAGAAATGTTATTTTCAATGAAGATGCTTAAATTTAACTTCCAAGAATAAATACGATTTTAATACACGTCGATCATCCAGAGATAAAACTCGAAAAATATCTGCCAGAAGATGATCAAGGACACATACAAGATGACAAAAATGAGAATCACAATACAGTCAACGGAGAACAAATTTGGAATGAAGAAAATATTGTTCGCCTGCAATAGAACATCGTTAGTTTCGTTCGCGAAAATCGTTATGACAACCCCAGCGATACGAAGCTAATTTGGCAGAATTCGAGGAACCACAAAATTTTCAAAAGGTATTAACCTGTCAAAACGCTCATCATGGGAAAATTGAAAGAAAACCAAACGTGGAATTGGTCCACTTACCCCGGAACATTAAACAATAGATCAACCGTTCACGTTGGGTATTTAAAGTGAAATTAGATGGAAATGGTGAAATTCAACGCTATAAAGCTAGACTTTGCGCCAAAGGCTTCTCGCAAACTCACGGAATCGACTATAATGAGACCTACGCCCCAACAACGAGACACGATACAATTCGCATTTTATTCACCACAGCCGTTAGAAAAGATCTTAAGATTGCACAATTTTATGTGAAGATTGCATTTCTTCATGGCGAATTAGAAGAAGATGTCTACATGCAGCCACCCGATGGTTTTAATGTCAAAAGTGGAATAGTCTATCAATTAAAAAGATCGCTTTACGGACTGAAGCAATCTTCGCGTTGCTGGAACCAAAAATTCAATCGTTTCCTACAAAAATTTGGACTTACACAGTGCGAATCGGACAAGTGTGTTTACAAAGGACTGTTCGAAAATGAAATCATGTTGCTTATTATTTACGACGATGGACTCATACTTGCAGAAAGCGAAGATATCTTAAAAAGAATAATTTCGGAAATGCAACGAGAATTCCAAATTACATCATGTCAACCAGCTTATTTATTGGCATGGAAATCAAGAGGACTGAAGAATCAATTTCCATTAATAGAAAAAGATACATACAGAGAATGCTCAAAAGATTTAATATTGAAAATGATGCTCCGAATTCCACACCAGAGGACTCACAATCTATTTTGATGTCAAATCAAGACGAATCCTTGACACACAATGTTCTTTTTGGAGAGGTAGTTGGTTGTATAATGTGTGCAGCAATCACAACCCGTCCAGACATAATTTTCTCAGTCAATTACAGCAGCAGATTTCAAGAAAACCTCAATCAAGCGCATTGAAATGCAGCTGAATGGATTTTAAAATACTTGAAAGAGATTCAGGAATATGGCGTCAAGTACACAAAAGATGCTATTTATCCAGATTTAATATAATACTCGGATTCCAATTTTACTAACGACCGGAATACCAGGCGTTCCACAACAGAGTACGTATTCCAAATGTCAGGAGGTCCAGTAACCTGGACATATCAACGGCAATGAACGATTTCCACGTTGTCTAGTGACAGCCAAAGTGCTATAAAGTTATTTCAAAATCCGAGTTATCATCGACGTACGAAACAAATTGTCGTTATTTATCACTATGTGCGCAAAAAATTCGAATCAAAAGAAATCAGCCTCCAATTTTTACCTACGCATGATCAGTTAGCTGATATTTTTACGATTTTTATTATTACATAATAATTTTCAACGACTTCGTGAATTAATGTGTTTGTTTTTCAAATATTAATTAATTAATAAGTTAATGTAAATAATTATTGAAATATTTTACAAACAAATAAAAGTACCTTGATTCCAAACTTTTCAGTTGAATATTTGCTAACCCAAAAACTTTGAGTTACAACCCGTTTATTATTAGATCCCTCTATTACTTTGATAGATTCTGAAAAGGTACAGTTACGTTCGTTTGATTGTACATTAAGAACTTTTGCTTTATCAAAATTAAACCGCAACGATTTTATTTGAAATACCCAGCATTAGTAACTACACAGTCGCAGTGACTCCATTATGTATGTATTCACAAAAATTTTGTTTTAGTATATAGATTGGTTTTAGTAAGATGAATAGTATATAAATTAAAAGTTGACAAACTTACCATCATTACACCACTTTCCATCATTCGCTGGATCTTGTCGAAATGAAAATTTTTGAAGATCAGCATACGTTTCTGCTAATAGACCAACAAAAAACATTCCAGTTCCAGCACTATCTAAGGTTGTCATTGTTTTTGGAGCCGGTGGAATTTTGTGCCTTGGAGAATTTATAAGTATTACTGGTAAACTTACAATGTATACCCAAAAAGCCTGAAATGTACAATGCAGCTTATCATTATGTTTGAATTGCTTAATACTTTGGTGTATTAGCAAATCGTGTATGTGATTAGATATTTTTGCTGGGGATATAATATTTCATGAATATTTAATTCTTAATCAATAAAAATTAAATTTGAAGTACTTATACTGTAGATAAAAGTTCCCTGGTAAAAATGCATCGTAGAAAAACTATAGGAAAATTTTACATTTATTTTTAAAAGGAATAACTAGCTGCCCAGATAATAATATTGATTGTAAGGGAATATGGAAAAAAACAATATCTTTGTTACATACCGACCACTTCAAAATAATTTTTTACATAATTATGGATATATATATATATATATATATATGGGACGTTCCATGTCAACCGGATCAATAATACAAAATTGCAGATCCAAAATGGAGGAATAGTTTTAAAAATATGACTCAATTTACTCGAAACTTAGGACTCAGGGGTTTTTGGGGTCGCTGATTATAAATCTGAACTCAGTTTTCAAAAATACAATATGGCGGATCCAATATGGCGGGCTGTTTTTTAAAAAAATAACCAATTCACTCGAAACTTGTGACTCGGGGGTTTTTGGGGTCGCTGATTACAAATCTGAACTCAATTTTAAAAATACAAAATGGAGGATCCAATATGGATGGGTTGTTTTAAAAAAATTACCCAATTCACTCGAAACTTGTGACTCGGGAGTGTAAAACAAGTTTCGAGTGAATTGGGTAATTTTTTTAAAAACAGTTCGCCATATTGGATCCGCCATTTTGAATTTTTGAAAACTGTTATCGGATTCGTAATCAGCGACCCCAAAAACTCTTGAGTGGCAATTTTCAAGTGAATTTAATTAATTTTATAAAAGTTAGTCGCCATATTAGATCCGCCATTTTGAATTTGAAAATTATCATCGGATTCGTAATCAGCGACCCCAAAAACCCCCGAGTCACAAGTTTCGAGTGAATTGGTTATTTTTTTAAAAAACAGCCCGCCATATTGGATCCGCCATTTTGTATTTTTGAAAACTGAGTTTAGATTTGTAATCAGCGACCCCAAAAACCCCCGAGTCCTAAGTTTCGAGTAAATTGAGTCATATTTTTAAAACTATTCCTTCATTTTGGATCTGCAATTTTGTATTATTGAAAATTTTGAAGTGTCAGCATTTTTTGATTCTGTAAACCCCTAGCACTGTTGGTGATCAATTTAATGCCAATTCGAACATTTTTTGCTTCTTAAATAATGTTTTAATTATATATATGATAATAGTAAGGATTGTTTTGATTTCTTGTTTAAATAAATTTCGCAATGAAATTCGAGAAACGTTTAAAATAGATCAATTGGAAATTGGTTCTACTAAAAAAATTAATATTCTGGAATTAAAAGAAATTGTTAAATGCCAAAAAAATAAACAAAATGTTAATCAAATTCGTGAATTGATAAATAATCAAGAAAATGATGATCGTTCTTATTGTATAAAAGAAGATTTTTTGTATTATTGAAGACGTATTGACAAATCGTGGAAATTGGTAATTCCATATGTATTACGAAAAAAATTGGTTGTAAAAGTTCACGAAAGCATAAGTCATATAGGTGCATATCGAACTTATTATGAAATGAGTCGAACATATTTTAGGTCAGGCATACAAAAAGGTGTTCAAAAAATAGTTTTAACGTCCATTACGTCCATTTCCATTAACATTTCTTAATGAAAATGACGTAGATATGGTTTTGTGTTCCATTTGACATCCTCAATCAAATCGAACGGAACTATGTTTAGTACGAAAACCCGATTGTAGAGGTTCCAATAGATCATTAACAGATAGATAAAAGGTAATTTGATCACATACTATTTTTTCCGAAGGTTTAGTTAAAGCACAAAGATTAGAAATCGGTCTAAAATCAGCTAATGTCTTAGGATTCTGAGTTTTTGGCATAGGTCTAATCAAACTAGTTTTTCATACATCAGGAAAAATTCTTGTCTGAAGGGAGTAGTTATATATATGTATAATAATAGGAAAAGTTACCGGGAGAGCTAATTTGATCATTTTGGCAGAAATGTTGTCTGGTCCAACAGCATTGTTAAGAACCGAAAGGCACCAAGCTGCCGAAATTAAAAGAAAATTATGTTTATTATATGGGATCGTGTATCCTATTTTAAAAGAAACTGCCAAGTTACGTTATTAGAGAATAAATTAAAGGAATAAAACACAATAAAACAATGAAGACCGTGAAATACATTTATTTTATAAAAATCTCGATTTCAAAACATAAGATTAATACAAGAAGGTAATAAGAAGGAACGATACATGTTTAAAAACTTACGCTACTGCTCAAATTACCGTCGCAAGCTAAGGAGGGCAAAGCGTCGAGGTGCTATCCGACGGGCGGAAAAATGCACACACTTTTCAAAGCGCGAAAATGTCAAATGGTAGCGGACGAGAATGCACTTACGGGTCCACCGAATCTAAACTGCGCAGGCACCACACGTGCGAACTGGTCGGTCAAAAAGACAAAAATTCAATAATTCGATTTTATTTAAATTATTGGATTTTTATTAAAGACGACTTTCGTTGGACTTCGTCGGCGTGAAGAAAAAAAAATGTCACTTTAACTTTTTGTCCGTCTAATTTTAATCACTATCTATTTAGTGGATTGTGAAAATTGAAAAATCCGTCTCACGGACGAGCTTAGTCTCGGCGTTTCCAAATCGTTTTTATGCCTTTGAAAAATGTAAGAGCTGACTCGCGAATGAGAGTTGTACTGCAATTAATTGACTTCCGTGATGCTCTTTTATATGAACGTTTAGAGACTTCAGGTGGGAAAATTTTGTCGACTAAGAGTTTTTAACACGTGAATAAGGCGTGAGCTCTGGGCCTGTTACTATGCGAATAATGATGAGTTTTTGTTTTTTTTTAATAGTTATAGCCAAATATAATAATATGCATTTGATAAAATCAAGCATAAGTTATTATTGAAATACTTGTTTTCTGTTGGATTTATTTTATGAATTTTCCTTGTTGGAAAATGTTTGGTTTTGGGTATTTTTACCCCTTTTTCATTTGTGACAATTACAACTTTCATGTTGTGTTATCATGGGCATGTAAGATTGTTAGGCCCAAAATACGTAATAAAAAGAGTTGGGGGGGGTAGAGTAAAAAAGGATGGGAAGCTGAAGAATTTCGTTCAAGGAAAAAGTCCATCGCGTAGATTTGTTTTAACTATCGTTTTCCAGAATTCGCTAGAAGTACAATTTCTAATGTGGCTCCTACGCCTAGCTATACTCATTTTAGACCCGCAAGCGATAATGGCGAACCGCATATGAGTAAAATACCTATTGCCATTATTTGCAATCAATAAACTTTCATAATTTTCTCTTAAGAATATTTCCGGAACGCCAAACGCACCCAAGTCGTTGCTGCAATGTTCGTTATTGAACACGCAAGATTGCCGCTCGCTATTTTTTGCGATTTTGAATTGTAAACATTGACGCAACGTTTAATACACTCAGGGTGCTTCCGCAATGTTCGTTAACGCACACGCAATATTCGCAACATTGCCGTTCGCTATTTCCTTCAATTTTAGGTGGGGAACATTGCCGCAACGTTTAATGCGTTCCGGACGCTGCCGCAATGTCTGGTAACATACTCGCAACATTCTAATTTGCTAACTTCTATAATTTTGACTTATGAACATTACCGCAAAGTTCAACACGTTTGGGACGCTGCCGCAATGTTTGTTAACATACTCTCAACATTTTCATTTGCTAATTTTCACAATTTTGAACTGGGAACATTGCCGCAACATATCGACCGCGGTTGCAATGTTCGTTGACACACTTGTAACATTTACATAATTAAAATCAAAGATTTTTAATTAACTATATGAAGATAACTTTCATTTTTAAATGTTATATTTATTTACGAATGCCCGTAGAGATTTAAAATAATATTAGAGTATATGCACATATATTTATGACATTTTTATTCTAGATATTTGTAATAATAATAATATGTGACGCTTCAAGAACAAGGCCCGAGTCCGTTCCCATCGCATTATGCTGACAAGTGAATTTTATTATGAAAGTATTGTATTAAAATTTACGAGCAGTAAATTTTACTATAATAATAGAAAATTCAAAAATTAAATTTTTAGCTACCACCGTGACAGCATTAGTTTTAATTTTATTAATATTTTTAATTAATTTATCAGGTGGAACATCAGGGAAAAAGAAATTATTTTTATCAAAAGAATAATTATTAAAAGATGTAGAAGCATTCGCATAATTTAGAACATTGACAGGAGTAATAGTAAAAACACTTAGGAAATCATCAGCATTAAACTTTCCGGCAAATGGATGCTTTTTTATATAAGATTGAGTTTCTTTAAGATTTTCCAATTGTTTTCAGACTTGCTTTTATCCCTGATCATGTCAATGTTAAATTTATTATGTGCATCTCTAATCTTAGTTTTCACTAAATTTCTACATTTCTTGAATTTTTCATGATCAAGGATATTTTTAGTCCTTCTAAATACTCTACATAATTTATTTCTTTCTCTTATAAGTGATCTTATTTCATAATTCATCCAGAGTGAATATTTCTTCTTTAAATTTATACTGTGAAGTGGCGCAAAAAGATAAAATGCCGATGTTAGGTAATGAGTCAACCAGTAAACCTTAATATTCACACCAGTCTCAGAATATACCACTGACCAGTTTTAAGAGTCAATGTGATTGAGAAAGTCAGTTTCAGAAATATTTCGTAAGTTTCGTACAAGTTTCTGTTCTGGATTATTAAAAGACTGATCAAGTCCAAACTCAAGTTTAATATCAATTAAATCAAGATTTGATAAAAACATAACTGGATACTGTTCGCAAGAGGCTACTTTGGCCAAGTCAGTTACAAACATTAGATCAAGCCGAGAACTAAATTTACTGAAGTGGTGAGTATCATCTTGTGGTACAACACTCAAACCAGCTGAATACATCATCAAGGTAAGAT